CTTCCCAACAGGCCACATGCTTGTTCTCTCAGCCCCTGGCCGAGTGGCAGGCACGTGGCCTGAGCTCGGCCACCCAGATGCTTCTGCCTGGGACCCTGAGCCTGAGCGTGCGGGGCGGCTCCGAACCCCTGCCCCTGCTCTCGGTGGGGGTGGCCTTCAGCACCTGGAACCCAGCGGTGTCATTCTAACGGGATGTCTCCCCAGGCCCCCAGGCCTGGTCCTCCTGCCTTTGCGTCGGTTCTGTGGGTCGCCCGGCATCCTTCCAGCACGTCCTTCTTCTCTCTGACCTACCCCGTCCTGGGCGTCTTTTATTTGTGGCCAAGCACCTTGTTGACGGGTAGTTATGCTGTCTCCAAGTTTTCACTCTTACAAACAATGCTCATGTGACGATCTCTGTCCCTCATCCCTGTGCACACCTGTGGGCGCTTCCACCCGGACCCCACCCGCCCCCATTTTCCACACGCCTGCTGCTCTGAGTGGTCCTAGCCTGCGCTCCCACCGTACCGGCGCCTCTCCGGTTTCCACCCCCACTGGTCGCCTGTCTCGCCTGCTAGGCCGTAGCTTGGTGAGGACAGGGACTGTGTCTGCTCCTTCGCCGTACCCCAGGGCTGGCACACCCAACGTCCGAACGCAGAACAGACGCAGTCCCCCTTTCTGCACAAATGAGAGAACCTGGGAACCACAATGCAACTTTAATGATCTGAGACAAGGGACACTAGAGGGCTGAGAAAGTCCTCAACGGCCACTCGCTTAGCGGCACAGCAGCTGGGCGGCGGGAGAAATGGGAATTCTCAGCATCTGTGTGAACGCGTCATTTCTTCAAGCTCAGAGCTCAGTGGGAGCAGGGGCGCCATCTGGTGGCCGGCCGTGGGAGGCGGCTGAGAGACGGAGGGTGGAGGGTCGGGGTCGCTCAGCTGGGGCTGCTCACAGGAGCTGCTGCTCTGCGCTCCTGCCCCCGCCCGTCTAGTCCACGACTGAGGCGTTGGTCAGGTAGAACGGGCGGATGACCGCTCGGAAGCCGCTGAAGGACCCTGCCGGGCAGGGGAAGAAGGAGGTGCTCCTGGAACCGTTGGTGTCCAGGGCGCTGGGGATCATGGCCTTCGGGCCCTCGAAGTCGGTGACATCTGCCACGAAGCTCCCCTCACACAGCATCAGGGCTTTGTTTTCGTAACCAATGGTGGGATCCGAGTAGCTGGACTTGGTGAGGCCCAGGACTGGGGGCTCGTCCAAGGAGCACGAGAACCCGTAGTTACTGCAGCTCTGGACGGTGGGGAGGTAGACGAGAGACCAGGAGATGAGGCTGGACTGGAAGAGGAAGCTGGGGTGCTGTGGCGTCTGGAAGGACTGGTAGGGGTCATACCAATAGGAGGGTGAGGGGGCCCGGGAATTCAGTGTCACGGCCGCGCTCCACGTGGGCGAGGTGTACATCCGGGGCTTGTAGGCGTCCTCGGTGAGGTTCAGGCCTGGGTACTGGGCCAGCAGCCGCAAGGGCACGGTGTGGAATTCCAGGGCTTCCAGAATCTTCTTTTGGAAGAGCGCCTGGTGACGCTGGTACAGGGACAGGTTAAACTGCAGCTGGAAGAGGTCGTCGGGCAGTATCATGGGGAACCGGACCTTCTCCACCACGCCTTCCATCTCCCTGTGGCTGGCGCGCTGCTCCCGGCTCCACACATCCACGGCCGTCAGCAGGGCCAACTCGCTGGGCACGGCCAGCTCGCTCCTGGACAGCAGGACGTGGAGCAGGGCTACGGGGACGCTCGTCCAGGCCTCGGCCGCCGTCAGGGCCTCGAAGTTCCAGGCCAGGAACTGTACGCACAGCTCCTCCAGCACGGGGTCCCTGGTGGCCAGCGCATAGGCATAGAGATCCAGGGACGTCTGGAAGGAGAGGTCCTGGGGGAGCAGGAGGGCGAAGAGGTGTGCGCAGTAGCTCTGCAGCTGCTCGGCCCCGTAGGCAGAGGCCAGCTTGTGGAGACACTTCACCGACGACAGGGACACGTCTATCCTTCGGGAGTAGAAGTACCTGGGAGGGCGGGGGGACAGAGCTGAGTGCCTGGATGCAGTGCTTCCCCTGCAGGACAGCGTGTGCCCAGGGACCGCAGGCCAGCTTCTCCGACAGGACCGTCTCGTCCATGTTTTGCCGCTGACCCACCGACACCCCGGGTGCTAATGATTTTAAGAGGTGTGCCATCCCCCCCCCCCCCCCCCCCCCCCCGATTAAGCTCTTGGGTCAACACACATGCCAGTCTCAAGTTTGCTTATTGCCACGAGCACTGACACCTGGCTGGGTCCCAGGGTCCCAGAGGTCAAAGATTCGTCTCTCAGCCGGGAGAGAAGCGCCCCTCCACGTCCTGCTCTCCAGTCCCTGGTCATCACTGTCATCACTGCCATCCTCCTCGCTGGTGGCCTGAGCCCGGCCTCCACAGGGCCTTGGGCTCCAACCCGCCAGCAATGCCGGGCATCGGCAGGGTCCTGCCCTCCTTCCTGCTGTCACATCCTGAATGGGACCCCTCATTCCCCTGCTGGCTGAGCATGGGTGCCCCTCCATCCCCAGAACCTATCCCGTGCCCCATGACACGGGCACCGCCCTTGGTTTCTTCCTGTCTGCTTCTCTGCCAACCGTGAGCCCGTGTAGGTGACACCCAGTCTAGTCTGCACCATTTGCCACGTAAGGCAGTGACACCAGGAACCGCTTTGCTGCATGAAAACATGAGTAGAGGGCGTCTGCCTGGAGGGGCAGCCGAGGTGAGACAAGTGGAGTCCTGCCGTTAGGAGGAGCCGAAGTCTCCCCAGCGCCACAGGGACTCAGAGCTGGCTGGTGCCTCTCGAAGGCTGAACCTTCCAGGGAGCCCGACCTGCTGCCCACCGTGTCCACCTAAAAACGGAGCGGGGGCCCTGGCACCGCACGCTGCAGGCCGGACCTGTGCCCACAGGAGCCAGGACCCCCGCGTGCCCAGTCATGGTGCCAGAGGCGTGCCCTCCCTCTCTCCTCCCTGCACTCACTACTCTCTCAGCATATCCTGTGATTCCTGCTGTCTACCGTGAACTCTGGGGCAAAACAGGGCCACTCCATCCTCCGGCCTGTCACCTAGCAGCTGGGTGTCCGCTGACCACAGCCTGCAGCGCCAGGAGGCTCAGCCCGGGAGGGCTCCAGGACAGCGGGCAGGGCGCACGCCTCCCGTGCACTGCCGCTTTCATGGGCAGGAAGTGCCACAGGCCCCACAAATGGCAGTTGACAAAGGGAGGGAGAACCCTGCAGAACGTCTTTACCATCTCTTAATTGTCATTTCAGGGCTGAGTGGGACAGTTCCCAGGCCACTGGTGGCTGCACAGCCACCCCAGCCAGTCTCCTTTCAACCGCCATGCACCTGCTCACCCCTCAACTTCAAGCAGGCCCCCAAGTGGGTGGGAACAGGGGGTCACAATGGTCCCTGGGCCCTGCCCGGCCATCAGGGAAGAAAACAGCCGGGGGACCAAAGGCCGGGTGGGGGAGGCGTTAGTGACCCTGAGAAACCAGAGAAGTGGCAAGGAGCCGGGTACCTGATGGCGGCCTGCCAGCAGGCGCTGCGTGTGGGCACGGGGCAGAGAGGGAAGGGGGGAGTCTGAGGGGTGGCCCAGTGGGGAGGGGTCTTCTGAGGACTTCTGGGGTCTGGAGGAGGCCAAGAGGCCAGGATACCCAGCTCACTGCAGCCTCTTTGCCTTGGAGGAGAGAGACAGACAGACAGAGACAGAAACAGGGAGAGGCACAGAGAGAGAGAGACCGAGGGTGCGCGCGGCGGTCACTCCAGAGCACCCCTGAGCTTTGCCTGAGGGCACTGATCCCGCTGGGGCCGGGGAGGCGGTCGGGCACCTGCCTCATTCTCAGGCACATCATAGAATCGATCCCACCAGGAGGGCACAGGCTAGAGACAGAGTCTTATGCTTGGCCGGAAAGGGACCATCTTAATCTGTTTTAATTGCCATCTGTTTTCTCCTAAGTGTCCCTTTTCAGCCACATAAAGCTCTGGTGGTAAGAATGAGAGAACCGTTTTCAGTACATGCGATGCCTTCTTTAAGTTGATGCTTTCGGAACACAAGCCCTTAGGAGGCCCCCTCATGGTGACAGAGTGGACACCCCCCAGCAGGGCGGTCTGGCAGAGCCCTGGGGACACTGCCCAGTACGCAGGCCGCAGCCCCGAGGACGCCCACCTGATTAAGTCTCTGACGACAGGCAGGCACTCGGCGTCCACCTCCATGGTGGCCGTGCTGCCTGGCACCTTGCACAGCGCCTGGGCCTCGGGGTTGGCGCACAGGATCAGGCTGTGGGCGCAGAGACTCAGGTCCTCCTTGTCCTTCACCTTCACCCTGATGGACAGGTCGCAGCCCCTCTGGCTGTCGAAGATCTGCGCGAGGGCATCAGGGAGCTCGCCCGACAGGTCCAAGGTGTGGATGCCTCTGGTTTCTAAGAAGGGGCAGAGGGCATGCCCTGGGTTGTGGGGGTGCGGCGGGGCTCAGGGCCTGCGTCGGGCCCCGCTCACTCGCTCTGTGACCCGGAAGGACTTTCCCTCCCTTAAATCGAGGCCTCTCTCCCTGCCTGACGGATCTACTCAGAAAGGCTCCTGGGAAGATGAGGGAAGAACCACCCCGGAAGACAGGTGCCCTTGTCCCTCGTGGCCACAGTCCCCCCAACATACATCCATGAAACAACCCTGGTTAGCTCATTTCCCCCCAAATTCGGGCAGCACCTTCAGGATGGGGGTTTGGAGCCGCTTCCTTCCAGAGCCTGAGGCCCCAGCCTTTAAAGACCCCAACCCATCAACGGATGGGCCACCCAGGTGCCCCCTTCTGAATCCAAAACCTCCTCCCTAGTTTGAGGTCTGAAGACAGTATCTTATGGAAACACAATGCTAGAGCTTTGGGGTCCTTCGCAGCCTCCTTCGCGGACCCCCTCCTCTGACCCTTCCCAGAGCCTCCCTGGGAACTGAATCCATGCCTTCTTTCTTTGTCACAAATAGGTTTAAATTCTGACATTTAAACCAGGTGGGCTCAACGCCCCCATTCCTCCTGGCACCCCAGACTCTCGGGAGCCTCTTAGGGCCTCCACGCGCCATGGGGCTCCCAGGCTCCTGCCAGAGGTGCTTCCTGCACGGCACCCAGCCCCCCAGCCCGGGTGCATCCCCTGCACCCCTTCCCAGCACTCACTCTGTCCTTGTGTGAACGCCCTGGCTTTCCTCGGTGTACCCCCCGTGCCTAGCAGCCACACGTGTCCCCGGGCCCACGTACCAGCCCAGGAGGAAGCGACAAGTGGACGCGACAGGGCAAAGAACAGCGGTAAAATTCGGGCTCAAGGGCCGAAAAATGAGAGCAAGCTGTGTTTGTTTAGAACGGCTGATGGAGTCGGGGGGCGGGGCAGTAGGGGGGCTGCGCTGTCTGTGACCTGGTTTTCCAGCCATCCAGAAATGTCCCAGCACACCCGGCATGCTGCTGGAGCACGCGGTGCACCGTGTAGTATGTTCCAGCAGGAGAACTAACGAAAGTGAAATGCTGGCGTTGAGAGGAGCCTGCCCTCGGCAGGCTTCGTGGGCACCGGGACATGGCCCGCTGCCCAGGATCAGGTAGGCAAGCGGGGCGTCTCCGAGCAGGCCCCGGAGAGGGCAGTGAGCTGCAGGCTGTCCTGCCCCCATCACCTGCGAACCTGTGCACAGGTGAGTGATGGGCTCGGAGGGCGTGTGTGCTGGGGGGAGAGGCGGGGCAGGAGTGGGCACCACCGCCATCCTGGGATCCACAGGACCCCAGGGCTTTGGGGGCGGGGGCGGGGGCTCGGGCAGGGGCTGCCCGGCTCACCGTTGCTGCAGACGACGCCGGCGTCCTGGCTGTGCCTGCAGTGGCTCTTCAGCCAGCCCAGCGACGAGCAGTTGGCCAGCGAGGGCTCTGTCCCCACGCATTCCACCTCGTCCAGCATGATAGGGCCCGTTCCTGGTGGGACAGCGGGGAGGACAGAGGCTGGAGTGGGGGCCGGGGCTCTCAGCCGCGGGAGGAGGGCCCCACGAACGGGGCTGCTCCCCCGAGAAGCCCGGCACAGAACAGGCACACTCACTGCACAGCGACGGAAAAACCCTCCGCGACCCCTGTGCCACCTAAGCGGCTTTGTTCCTCACATTCCCCTCCCGGGTGTGTTCGTGTTTGTGGGCGTCTTTTACTAGGTCACAGGTAATCGGGTGACTGCTGGAGCGCAGGTTCAGATTTATCACTGCGACCTCGGACCATACACGGGCCCTCCTTTTCATAAAGCCGGTCTGCTTCGTGGACAACAAACCCCTGAAAATCTAGGGTATTTCCCTCTTTTCAGAATCATGGCCTCTGTGTCAGTGGAAATCTTCCCACATCTATACCAACTCTTCTTTGGGGGAAACGGTTTCGAGAAGATAAATTCCCAGGAGTGGGGCTTCTGGGCTGGAGGGAGCGGCCACGGCTGAGCTCCTGAATGACCCACCCGTGAGCTCCTCACGGCCACCGGCAGCACAGGCCCTCGTGTTCAGAGTGCCAGCGCTGGGCAGGGGGGCCGTTCCAAGTCTCAGGTGATGGCCCCCCCCGGGGCTCGCTGCTCTGGAGGAGCTGGGGACCCCACAGGCTTACCTGGCCCAAAGGCGGCTCTGCCCAGAGCCTCAGTGGCGTTCGCAAACCCCAGGGCCCGGCAGACGACGCTGGCATCGGTCAGGTCCCACAAGTTGTCACACACTGTCCCCCACTGGCCTCCGTAGAAGATCTCCACACGGCCCTGGTTGGCAGCGTCCCCATCTGCCAGCCGCATGTCACCATCTTTCACAGCTGCAGGACTCCCAAGGGAACGCAGAGGTCAGCAGGGACAAAGGCCGGGGGCTTGGGCCTCCATCCCAGGGCGGCAGCACTGACCACCCCACACTTCACCGGGGCCATGTGCTTTCGCGGGAGCAGTAAAGTTCCCCCCAAGGGGGCGACCACTGGACAAATAGCTTTAAAGCCTCCCCATCCCTCCCTGAGGGGGTCGCCCGTTGGGGAGTAGTGGAGGATGCACACAGACGCCCCACCCGCGCTCACAGAGGGTCAACGAGCCTGCTCTTGTCTTTCAGGTTGGAGCCCTTGGCTGCACTGAGGGAGAAGCGGCAGAGGGACACGTGGTACCCCAGCACCTGAGAGCGGGGTGCAGGACCCCGAGGAAAGGATGGGAGCGGGGAGAAGGCCTACGATGACCCCACTTGCTCAAGTCTGGGCCTTGGGGGCCACCCGTGCACCACGGCAAGGACTGCTGGGACGGGGTGGGGGCAATGCCTGAGGCAGTAGGTCCAGGGACCCCGGAACACAGGCAGAATACACCAGGTACAGAGAGAAAGGGGGGTCCCGGCCCCACACTTGTTCTTCTGGGACTCAGTTGACTGATTCTCCAGGCCCAAATCCTGTGGGCGCTGACAGAGTCAGAGGGCAATTCTCAGTTGGGGTGCAGCAGGCTTCCGTAGGGTCACCAGGCTGAGGAAGGCCTCCCGGGCCTCGAGGGGTGAGGCATGAGGATGCTTGAGAGTCTGTGTCCAAAGGGCACTGACCTCACGCCCCCCAGCATTTGGCCGGTCTGATGCGCCCCTCCTGCTCGGTCCCTCTGGGAACAGGACAGAACAAAGAATTCCTTGGTGTACCCCCACAACCTAAAGCCGCATGACTTGGAGACGAAACCTGAGCCGACCCCAGTGACCCGGGGCCGGGCAGAACATTCCTAGGCTTTCTGTGAGGAGGGACAAGGACGAGCTGCTGTCGGCATTCCCGCCCCCCGGGCTCATCTCACCTTCAGTCCCTGCGACCAGCAGCCACACGCAGAGGAGCCCTAGCAGGGCCATGGTCTGGCCTGGGAGCCTGTGCCCTGCAGGAGAAGGAGGCGGCAGGGTGGAACAGCTGAGCTGGACAGACCGGAGGGGCCCTGAGGGTCTGTCCTCCATCACTCACTCTCCTTGTGGAGGGCGGAGGGCGGCAGGTGGGTGGGTCCCTGCTCCTGCAGACAGTGTGGGTGACAGGCGCCCCAGCAGGGCTCCCTCACCTGGTCTGAAAGGTGGCCCTCCAAGGACCTGAAGACTTGCCCAGATGAAGCGGGTGAGCTGGGGTGTCTCCAGGCAGCAAAGACGTTGGGGAAAGGAGCCCGTCTCAGAAAACCAGGCCCGGATGTGGCTGCAGTTGGGCCAGGTGGGGACGGGGAAGGTGGGGTGTGCAGGGCCCAGACAGGGAGGGGCCTAGTGCGCCTCGCTGAGGGTGGGGCCTTATCTTCAGATAATAGCCACTGCAGAAGTGCCCAGAGGTCTGTGCAGACAAAGAACATTATTCTGGGCCTTCCGGGCCACGTGAGCCCCGGGGAGAGAGGGAAGTGAAGTCAGGGTGCAGGGCATCAGGAGGTCACAGAAATCCGACAGGGTGACCGAGGGATGGGCAGCAGTGAGAGGTATCAGGCTGGGGGTGGGCACAGGAGAGGGGTCAGGGCCGGGGCAGGGTCCCTGACTGTGCAGCTGGATGGGGGTGGGGGTGGGGGTGTGATGGGGAGGACCTGCTGAGCTGGCTCTGTGTGGACCTGGCATTGACACCTCGGAGGTCAGTGTGCCCAAGAAGCAGAGGCTTGGAGAGGCTGGGGGCCACCCAGGCGACAGCCAGCCAGGGCAGGGGTGCGGGTACACAGGTCTTCTGGCTTCTGCCTTGAGTAATTCCTGCTGCTAGCTTTTCCTCTTCACCCCCATCCTGTTCCTCCCCAGTCTCCCCTCCCCCCACATCCAGCAGTCACTGTTTCTCTGGCTTAGGAGGAACCCTGTGATCCGTGACGGTGACAGGCCCCACTCCCTGCAGGCCCCCTACAAGTCAGAGCCTGATGACCCTGAGGCAGCCCCATTAGACTCCTAGCACACTGGCCTGGGTTGGCCCCATGCCAGGACTGCTCAGGCACAGCTCAGACTCCTGCTGCTAACCCCACCTTCCGGGTGCAGGAGCTGGAGCCCAGAGGTGGCTGGCTGGTCACACAGCTGGGAAGGGCGGGTTGGGCTAGATGGCTGAGGGGCTAGGGTGACCAACTGTCTGGTGTGCCGAGGCCGGTCCTGGTTTTAATGGAGGTCCTATGTCCAGGGACACCCCTCAGTCCCAGGCAAACGGGTACGGTTGGTCACCCCCTGCAGTGCCCAGAGCCACAGCCGCCAGGTTTATTCACCCTGGGACAGGAACTCAGGGCCCTGGAAAAATGGCCAACGGAGTACCTGGTGCACAGTGTGCAAATGTCGCTGCCCTTGGGTGGCTGTGGCACCTATTTTGCCTGACTCCCTCCTATAGGAAGTTGGGACGGGGCTGCCTGCCCCTGGCCCATACGCTGCGTTCGTGCAAATTAGAAAAAGGTGCTCTTCCTTTGGGCGGGTACAGCCTGGGCTGATGTGCAGACCAGAGGGACTTGAGCTGAATTCCAAGGCAGCTTCCCCTTTGGCTGGTGTCCGTGTGCAGTGAACAGCCTGCCCAACTGTACACAAAGACCCTATGGGCCTGGGAGCAGCCACGATGGTCCCTGGGCACCAGGTGCACAGCTGGGTGCAAACAGGGAGACTTGGCCCCCACTAGATGACACTGTAGGGAGAGGGACACCCACCTGAGAACAAGAGGCGTAGCTTACCTGCCTGAGGCAACTACTGATGATGGTCCTGGGACATCCGGCCTTCCCGTCGCAGGATGGCTCTGTAGGCTGTCCACCCAGAAAGCCCCTCCGCGCAGTGTGGAAAGTGATCAGGCTGGTCCCAGGGAATGTTTCAGAAAACTGAGTCTGGTTTCGATTTTTCAGAAACCACATGACACAGGTTCCTTCAGGGGTTGGCCGCCTACAGGCTTCCGGGGCTCCTTTCCCTCCTCTCTGACTGTGGGTGTTGGGGATGGCGGCCGCCCAAGGCGGCAGTCTGGCTGACTTGATAACCAGAGCAAGACAGCCGACAGCCACAGCTGAATTTAAACAGACTTCCAAGCTGGGCCAGCCCTGGGGGAGTGGCGTGGGGGAGGAGAGACCAGGACAGCAGGAGAAAAGCCGAGGGTGGCAGGCTGGCTCTGCATCTGGTGCTGACTGCGGGCTCCTGAGAACAATTGGCGCTTTCTCCTGGACCCGCTCACTGCCAGCCGGCGGACCCTGCTGGGATGGTTGCTCATTTCGCGTGTCTCCCCTGCTCAAAGCTCTTGACATGCCCGACCTCACGGAGGGGCTCCACCCCGTGAGGCTGCACAGTGCCACCAAGGAGTCGGGGGCTCTGGGACATGAGACAACATGCCCAGGTATGCCCAGCGAGTGGAAGAGCTGTACCCCACACGGAGCCTTGACCCCAGGGCCTGCGCTTGCCACCTGCTCCCCAGTAATGGTCATTCTCCCACAGGCTCACCCCCAGTGGGGCAGGAGACAGAACCTCTAGAGTGCACATAAATTGTTTCGCCCACCTCACATCACCCCCTTTCCTCCGACAGGAAGCCAGCACCTCGATGCTCCCCTGGGGAAGCACCCCCTCTCAGGCTGTGTGGTTCCCTTGGGTCTGACCCCGTGGCCACACGGATGGTGTCAGGGAGGGACTGTGACCCCAGGTAGCCAGCAAGAGTCAGGTTCAGACGCATGGAGAGGAGCCCTGTGGGGAACGGGGGGCCTGCAGCGGCTGAGGCCCAGGGTGCCTCAGCCTGAGCCCCAGGAAAGCCCAGCTGAGGATGCAGGTGGGCACAGGGCTGAGGGATGGAGGAATCGGGTCTGGATGCGGTGGTGTGAGCCCCTGGCGCGGCTGGCCTGCGGTCAAGGCCAAGCCCTTAAATGAGGCAGTCAACTCCTCCTTCTGCTTCTGTCATTTGCATCCCAAGCTTCAGGATGGAGAGTTATTCCTTGGAATGTCCCCAGGTCACTAGCCCAGTGGCTCTCGACCTGGGCTGTGCATGCGAATCACCCAGGAGGCTATGGAGTCATCATCTCTGGGGCGGGGACAGGCATTAGCATTTTAAAGCCTCCCAGAGGGTTCCAGGTGCAGCCAGGCATGAGAACCCCTGGGTGACACACCACTTCCCTGGCAGCCCACAGCCCCCACGTCACACATCCAGTGACTCTGCTCAAGATGTGAGGTGTGAGGGGGCTACGCTGTTCTTCTAGTTCCCTCCAGAGAAACTGGAAAGATCCAGGGGAGAAATGGCTGGTCACGGAACTGGAAAAAGAAACTGGTGGGTTTTTTGTTTTTTTAAGACTTTTTAAATTGGGGAATCGGGGGAAGGGGAACAGACAAGTTGCTGTCCTTTTGTTCTTCAATCTAACTGTGGAGGATGTCTCTTCGCTGGCCCATGTTGGTATTAGCATTGCGCTCTTCCCGGGTGAGGCAGTCACCCACCGGCCAACGAACGGCAGCTCACGGTGGTTCACAGCAGCTCACAAAAGCGCACCCCCGCTGCCGGCCAGCCCCACTGCAGCCTACGCCGTCGTGACTCACGGCAGCCCAGCTCCAGGTCCAGCTGTTGTTCACCATCTTAGCTGTGGGATCTGAACTGGGGCCCTGCTGCACAGAGCTGGTGTCCCAAGCCAACTCTTAACCAACGCGCCACTCGGCCAGCCCAGGAACTGGTGAGTTTTAAAATCTCACCAGATTAGGGACACAGAAACCCCACCATTGTCACTTCTCATCATCTCCACTGATTTGTGCCCAAATAAGTGGCCAGTCAAGGACAGGAATGCAGAGGAAGTCCTTAGGGAGGGGGTGGGTGGAAACGCTTAAAAACTCAAATTGCTGAATCTTTGCCCCAGAGTCCTGGAAAAGCCCTTTGCGTCCAGGCAAGAAAAACATTAGATTGAGGCCTCATCACGGAATCAAAGCTCGGGTGTCTGTTCCTGAAGGGCGGGGGGGGGGGGGGGGGGCGCGTCTCAAGGCCTTTCTGGCCTTCAGCTCCCATAAACGGAACATGGGACAGGAGCTTGATGACCTGCTCCAGACAGGAGTGGCTCGCTTGTGACAAGGAGACTGAAAGTCCCAGACACACTTTTCTTTTTTAAAAACTGGCTTGACATAGAATTTCCGTACAATAAAATGCATTGCTTTAATGAGCTTTGACAAACGGTAACAGGTGGTAACTGTGACCACAATCATAATACACAGGACATATTCGCTGTCCCCAAATGCTCTTTGATGCCCCTTTGCCGTCAGTCTCCTCCACCGCCCCCCAGCCTGGCAACCAGTGACCTGCTTCCAGCCACTGTGGCTTTGCCTGTTCTAGAATTTCATATAACTGGACACATACAGTATGTACCTTCTGTATCTGGCTGCTTTTACTTAGTACGTTTCTGAGATTCATTCACATCACTGCAAATATCTGTCATTTGGTTCACTTTCGCTGAGCAGTGGCCATTGCACAGACTGACTATGATTTGTTGGTGCATTATGCATGGACGGACATCTGGGTCACCCCAGGTGTGGACTGTCATGAACACAGGTGTTAGGAACATTTGGAGACAAGTCTTTGTGTGAACCTAAGTTTTTATTTCTTTTGTGGAAATGCCTAGGGACAGGGTTACTGGGTCATACAAGATATGACAATTAAGTTCGTGAACTTGTTGCAACGATGTTGCTAACCTTTTGTGATATCAGAGGGATTATTCATTATGAATTTATACCAACTGGACAAACAGTTAACCACATTTACTATTTGGAAGTGCTGAAAAGGATGCGTGAAAAACTTAGACGACCCGAACTTTTCGCCAACAATTCATGGCTCTTGCATCATGACAATGCACCAGCTCACACGGCACTGTCTGTGAGGGAGTTTTTGGCCAGTAAACAAATAACTGTATTGGAACACCCTCCCTACTACCTGATCTGGCCCCCAATGACTTCTTTCTTTACCTGAAGACAAAGGAAATATTGAAAGGAAGACATATGGAACATTCAGGACATCAAGGGTAATACGACGACAGCTCTGATGGCCATTCCAGAAAGAGTTACAAAATTGCTTTGAAGGGTAGACTAGGCGCTGCATCGGTGCATAGCTTCCCAAGGGGAGTCCTTCAAAGGTGATATTCAGCAACAAGGTCTGTAGCACGTTTTTTAGGATGAGTTCACAAACTTAAGTTGTCTGACCTCATCTGGCAAATGTATGGGACTTTTTAAGAAACTGTCAAACTGTTTTCCAAAGTGGCTGAACCAGTCAGCCCTCCTACTCTGACCCTTCCAGTGACCCTGGGTCCTCACCGATACTTGGGATTGTCAGTCTTTGTATTTGTCTCCATGCTGGTGGGCTGGCAGTGGCATCTCATGGTGGTTTTAGTGACTAATGATGTTGAAGATGTGCTTATTTATCGTTCATACATCCTCTTCGGTGAAGTGTTTATTTAAACCTCATGCACATTTTTAATTGGGTTGTTTGTCTTATAAGCTCTTGATGGATTCTGGATACAATCCTTTAGCAGCCTGCCTTCTCATTTTTGTAACAGTGTCTGAAGAGCCAAGGTTTTGATTTGGATAAAGCTCAACGTATCATTCTTGTGGTCTCATAGCTAAGAAACCTTTGCCTGACCCTGGGTCACAAAGGTTCTCTCCTACATGTTCTTCTAGGAGTTTTGTAGCTTTAGCTCTTACACGTAGGTCTACGATCTGTTCTAACTGTGGGTGCAGTGCGGGACAAGGGTTCCAGTAACTTCCATGTGGAATAGAGCTGTCCCAACCCTATGGGAAGGCAGTCTTTTCCCCCACTGAATTACCCTGGCACCTTTGTAAAAACAAAACAAACCCAATCAATTGACCACACTCATATGCGTCTATTTCTGGAAATTCTCTGTTCCATTGATTTACATGTCTCTTCTTATGCCAATACCACATGGTTTTGACTACTTAGAGCCTTATACTAAGCCTGGAAGTCAGATAGTATAAGTCCTTCAATTTCCTTTCTCAAAACAGTCCTCCCGCCATGAAGATGACATGTGGTGTTCCGTTTCTCTTCTTTGATTTCTTTCATTGGGGTCTCATAGTTTCAGCATATTGATCTTGCACAAATGTTGTTAGATTTGTACCTATTTCGTGTTTTTTGATGCTATTCTCAATGACATTGTTTTAAAATTTTCCATTTCCAATTGTTCACTGCAGCTATATAGACATAAAATTAATTTCTGCATGTGGACCATGTATCCTGCAGCCTAGCTAAACTGAACTGTTCATTTTACTGGTTATTTTTTCAAGACTTCTTAGGCTTTTCTACCCCTTCAATCTTGTCATTGGCAAATAAAGACAGTTATACTCTTTCTCCTGTAATCTGAATGGCTCCTTTTTGCTGCCATGCTACACTGTCTGGGATGTCCAGCGGGCCAGCTGGTGGCTACAGTGCTGACAGCAATGTCAGTTTCCTGGGTTTGGTAACGGCGCTAGTTACGGAAGCCGTTATCACTGGACAAAGCTGTATGAAGGGAAGACAGCAGGGCCGTCCTGTCCAAACCTCACAACTTCTCCGTGGCTTAAAATGATTTTAAAATAAAAACTGAAGTGGTGGGAAAAAGTGGTGAGAGCAGGCGTTCTTGCCTTGGTCCCAGCGTGAGGAGGACAACAGTCTTTCCACGTGAAGTATGAGGTTAGCTGTAGGTTTTTCACAGATACCCTTTATCACACTAAAGGGGTTCCTTTCATTCCTAGTTTGCTAAGAGTTTTTTGTTTGTTTGTTTCTAAGTCATGAATGGGTGCCGATTTTGTGAAATGCTTTTTCCATTGTCTTTTGAGATTATCACATGGTTTTTCCTTTTTGGTCTGCTAATATGATGAATTATGTTGGTTTCAGAATATTAAACCAACCTTGCATTCCTGGAATAAACCATACTTTGTCATGAAGCATTTTCATTTTTATGAATGGCTGGATTCAACAGGCTAAATTTTTGCTAAGGGCTCTTGCATCTGTGTTCATGAGGGATACTGGTCAGTGTTTTTCTTTTCTTGTAGTGTATTTATCTGGTTTTGGTATCAGGGTAGCAGTGTCCTCATAACCTGAGTTGGGAAGTGTCCCCATCTCCCCAAATCATGGAAGGCTTTGCGTTGGCTTGGTGTTATTTCTTCCTCAAGTGTTTGGTACAATTTTACCAGTAAAGCCATTTGGGCTTAGAATTTTCTTTGTGTGAAGATATTTTATTTTTGCTTTTAAATCTTTTCACAATTTCATTAAGGTATAATTTACCTTGAAATTTATCTGCTTAAAGTGCATGAGCAGACAGGATTAACATTGGAAAGAAATCAATCTTTTTCTTCACCCAGTTCCGAGTTTTTTTTTTGGTTGTTTTCCTTTTCCTCATGAACTGCACACTGGAGAGTGCCAAGCGGGCACAAGTCACTACCTGAGTGAATCTGTGTCATGACTTCTCACAGAGGCGGTCAAGAGCTGATTTTTCAGATCCTTGCGACTTCATCTGCAATCCTCCCATTCCCGCCTCTGGCCTCTCCCTCCCCACCCTCCTGGAACTGTCCTTAAAAGGACCGAGGACCGCCAAGACCACCACGTCGTTCTTGTTGGTTGGCCCACGGACACTCCAGGCCTTCTGACTTGACCTCCCCGCCGTGTCTGATGGCTGACTCTCCTCCCTTGCTGTACTGGTCAAAAGTTCTCAGCAGGGAACAGATGGCTGTAAACTAAGATAATTTAAGTCAAGGGCTGTTTGTAAGGTGTGGCACAAGGTTGCGTAACCAGTCCTAGGCCGTAAGGGACAAGGGCAGAGAGCAGGAACCAGAGTCCGTGCAGAGGGGCTGCTGCCTTGCGAGGGCTCCCAGCTCACCCTCCTCTCTCCCGCCTCCCAGGCCGTTGGTGAGGTTCACTCACTCAGGTCAGCCTCTGGGAACACAAAGAGGGCAGGGCAGCGAGGGGAGAGGCGGCTCTGCAGGGACAAAGGGAAGACGTAGGCCCACTGGCCTTGTGACCCCGAGCTCGCCCGGTCTCCTCTATGTCTGACGGCCGTTTCTCCTCCCCCTCAGGCTTCTCTTCTTTCGCAGCCCCTCCCTCCTGGTGTCCGAGGCTTCGTATGGGGACTTCTAGGACTCTGCGTGTCCTTTGAATGATTCTTCAGATCATTCAAGACCTCACACTGGCTGTGCCAGGTCCCTGCCCGTGGATGAGCGGCACCAGCAGAATGGGTGGGTATGCACCAAGCGTCGGTGATTTTCTGAAGACGCTTAGGTGTGTGAAATCCTTCACGGTTCATCACAGCTCCATGAACAGTTCCATCATTACCGTCCTTTCACGGATGAGGACATCAATGCATAGAGAAATCAGATAGTCTGGCCAAGGTCACATAGCTAGGAAGGGCCACAGCCAGAACTGGAACCTGGGAGGGACTTCAGAGCTTACACTCTTAAACGTTACGACCGAAACAGCCTTTCAGAGCATCTGGATGATCTGGGTTCCAGAAAGGCTCCCCAGTCTGAGAAGGTACCCGCCCCGTGACAGCCGCATCTGGGCTATCAGACGTCCTGTCCCAACAGCTCTTCCCCCTGGCCCTGTGCCAGGACTGGCCAGGCCCGACCCCCCAACCAACAGGTGTCCCCAGCGAGGGGCCAACATAGACCAGGGGACAAAGGACTCATTCAGACCCTCTGGCACTTTATTGTTTACAAAACAATGGCTCCAGGAGGAAGAAACACAATCGTTATGCTTACAGCAGCGAATACAGAGGGGAAAAGGCTAGCTTGAAAATATTTGAAAATCACTGACTGCAATGGTGCTTCTGGGCACCCAGCGGGTGGCTGAGGCATCAACGTTAATGCTTCAGGGAGGTCTCCACTTGGGGACTCTCCCAAGTCCTCCAGCCTTCCTAATTTCGTCTCTGTATTTTAAACTCACACAGCCCTAACATCAATGCCATTTATCACGGAGGTGGGTCAGGGAGCCCAGCCAGGCAGAGTCAGAAAAGACGTGTCTAGTGGGCACCGAGCTCCAGAGAAATGTGTCACATTCAATAGCTTGTTTTCCGTTCTCTCGTGATTTGTTTTACAATGGAAGAAACAGACGTCTGGCGTAAAGAAGCGGGGCCCTTACTGGGTTCCCTCCAGGTGGCTGATTCAAGTTTCAACGTAGGAAAGCCTGTGAAACAGGGGTCCACACAGTAACAGCCAGAGCTCAAAAGATGGCCCTTCTTGGGCCACCGCAACGGCGCCCCATGTTCTCTTGAGGGGTGAGGTAGCTTCTCGGGGAGGCGCCCTCCTCAGCTTTGGTCCTGGCTGACCCGTCGCAAACCCTCTGCCTTCACCCTGCAGCATCGAGCGGAGACCACAGGGGCTCAGACAAACCCAAGTTTGTGTGAGGAGTTTTCGTGGAGAGGAGGCTGCAAAACTCCCACAGGGAAGGGGAGACACAAAGGGCCAGGGCCAGGCCTGCCTCGTCCACAGCCGCCAGAAACAAGGCGCCCAGCGGCCGGGCCCGGGGGAGGTGCGCCGGAACCTAGGGTCCCAGCCAGCCAGGAAACAAAATTCAAGTCATTCACGAAGGCTTTAAAGGCATGAGTTTCTGTTGCTAGAAGAAGGCAATGTTTTTTTTATCTTTGCATCCTTTGGCCAAGGGTTTACACATGTTTAAAAACTTGCCTTACCAAGAGTAACTGCTTCGTTACAATTTCCTCCGCAGCTGGTGATGAATTCGTTAACTGTGGAACTTGACTCTGTGTGATTAAGATTTGGTGATTCCCTTTTATGAGAAAGGAAGTTGCTTTAATTAAAATAAGTTTATAATTAAAACTTCAAAGTGCAGTGTAGCCACAGCCTTTTCCTGCAGGGAGGATATGGACTCTGCCACATGACATGGAGGCTGTTTAATGTGAGGCTTGGGGACACTCGATGGGCTGGCGCCCTTTCCTGCAGCACTGCGGGCAGACGTGTTCCCAGATGCCTGCCCTCGCTCACACAGCCCTGTGACCAACGCCCTGCAGTGTAAACAGGTTCTTTCCAAGGACTTGGGGGGGTGGCTGTAATGCCCGAAGTTCAGGAGGAAGAAAGGGGCAGCCTGGGAGTTGCTGAGGGGAAGGTGCACTTTGGACTCGCTGTCGTGTCCCCAGAGGGGGCACAGTGCTTACCACACAGCAGGAGCTCAAGAAATATTTATTGAACAAAAGAGCAAACGGAAAGAAAAGCAAGGGGGGTCAGCGGGAAGGAGGGCAGGCTGAATCAGAGGACGGGCCCAGGGCGAGGGCACAGTGGTCAGCTGGGACCAGCAGATGGCAGCGCAGAGAGGCGTGCGGCGCGGCCGGGCCGCTGACAAATCCGCCTGGCGGATGACAGGCCTGGGCCTGGCCTCCCTGCTCTGGGGCGAGAGCGCTAACACGATCTACCCCTCAGTCGCGGAAAGAAAAGGGGCAAAACAAAACACCACAGAAAAGTGCAGACCGCCGGTTTTCATACAATTTGAGTCCTGATGTAGCTTAAAACCGTCCACCCCTCGGCCTCGCTCCATGGCTTCATTTTTAGAGTTTAAATAAACTCGATTCCTTCGTACTTAACATTTCCGACCTTGGTCTCTGGCAGAAGGAAGCGTCCGTCGAGTGTGAAGGCCATGATGTAGGTGGCGATCCGGCCGCCGTCCTCCTCGGACTTGAGGGCCACGATGATCTGGTCGTCGGTGTTGGGGATGAACTTGAAGGAGGAGAAGCCGTGCGTGGGGACGACCTCCCCGACGCGGCTGGCGGAGACGTCGCCGAAGTCCTGGGCGGCGCTCAGGAGCAGGTTGGTGCCCTTGTGTTCGTCGTCCTTCTCGCTGTACCGCTCGTGGCTGGCCCGGCGCGGCAGGAAGAACCACCGCTGCAGCGCGTCACTCCAGCAGGCGGACTCGTGAATGAGGTAGCCTGGGGACACATGACAGATGCGAGGTCAACGCCGTCCCAGGCCCCGCCCCTCCCGTGACAGGGTGTGCGGGACCCTCAACGGCAGGCAGGGCGGTGTCAGCGAGCAGAGGCCAGGACTGCCTGGGACGGTGGCCCCCTTCCCAGTGTGTGCTTCGGTGCTGCGGCCGTGTGAGGTGTGAGGAGCTGTGGGTGGCGGCGGCGCCCCCACCCGTCTTTTCTTTAGACCGCCTCCACGCTCCCTGGAGGACTCTCCACCCATTTCTGTTCTCGGGATCCAGAGTAACAAAGACCGACAGGGGCTGCAGTCCCCGCGCCCCACCTGCCCGGCCGAGCTTCCCGGAGCCGCTGAGAGGCCACCGCCGTGCGGTGTGTCTGCACCCCCACTTCCTTGGTGCTGACCGCAGGGCACCGGGAGTGCCCAGAAGAAGGGAGCGAGATGACCAGCAAGCTGATTTGTGCCAAAGAGGTCGGGGTGGGTGGGAGAAGCTGCCTGGAGCCTGAAAAGGCAGTATCACCCCCTTCACATTTCGGGGTAACAAGTGAGGCCAGCCTGGATCCTCAGTCTTGTCCCCCCAAACCTAGAGCGACTCCCCACCACAAACTACACTGCCTCTCGGAAGGTGAGGGAAAGAACCCGAGCTCTGTCCACCTTGCCTCCAGCAGTCGAGTGCCAGGCCCCATGCCCCGAGGCCCCAGCCCAGGGGGACGACCAGAACAGCTGGCCCGGGGCTGCAGTCTGCGACAGCAGGGGGCCATCTGGGGCCATGTGCCAGGTGAGCAAGAAAGGAAAAGGCTCATCTGCCCCCAGAATCCACTGGCCCGAGGGGGCAGCCACCAGAGAGCCGAAATCATACGCAAGGAGACGGCTGCACTCGGCGAGCTCCGCGACGGGCTCTTACCTGGCGGCCGGATCCCGGCAGCGGCCCGCAGGGCATTGTAGCTGGACACCCAGTTCTCGTGGCGCACGCTGCCCCTGTAGCCCACCACCTTCACCCACTCCGGGTTCTCGTTCAGCACCTCCCCCGCCGTGGTGGTCCACTCCTTGCCCAGGCCGCCCACATACAGATGCTCGTCCTTCACAGCCATCCACTCGGCCTTGAAGCCTGTGGACAGAAACACGAGGGGCGTGACTGAGATGCCGTCTGCTCGCCTGGCTCCTGTGGGGTCCGGCAGCCTCGGGCATCAGCGGTCACCAAGGTGGACTTCACTGGAGACAGTGACCAGAGAGCGGGGACAGGACAGCCTGGCTTGAGGTCCATTCCCAGAGGGCCAGCAAGGCACCTGCCCTCCCACCTGGTCTTCCCCGCTCTGTCCCTTCCTACCCTCAAGGAATGACGTCTGCCTCTGGCAACTCGATGCGGGCACTCTGCTGGGACATCTGTCCTGTTACTCCGAGACTGGTGCCTCACGTCCCTGCAGCTGTGAAAGGCCCAGCCCACCACTTGTCAATCTCCTCTGACCCCCAAACTCTCCATTTCTCAAGGCTCCTCCTTTCGACTTAGGCAACCTGCAGTGGAGATGAGCTTTCTGGAAGGTTCAGATCCACAGGGGGAGCACGGGCACAGACAGAAGCTTTTGTCAACGCTCCTGCTGGCGCCTAACGCATTCTGTCACTTGGCCGTCTGGGCTCCGGGCCACTGGGGCCCCCTCTCGGTCTGCCTGGCAAAGAGCAGAGCTGTGGGTCACAGCCGATCTCGAGTGGGGTCACAGCTGCTCACACAGACCCTCCCTCTGCTGGGTTTTCAGGAAGGAGGACTGGGCAGCAAGGCAAGTGTACCTTTTCAATAAAGTCTTAGTTCAAAATGAGAGCACCCTGACACCAGGGCTTTCCAGGTAAGGCACCGGGAGGGAGTAATCGCAGCGTGCTCTCAGGATGCCTTGGAAGACATGAAAAGGGCCACGTTCCCAGAGGTGTTGAGAGCGGCACAGGACAGAGCCCTAAAACTCATCCTGGGAAGAGCCCCCTTCTCTGGCAGTCCTCTAGCAGCCAGCTCACACTTCTAGAAACTGCTCTGATCTGAGGTCCCGTGAGGCTTGTGCTCCCGGCTGCGGGGAGAAGCAGGACAGCACCAGCTCGCCCCGACGTCCCCTCCTTCTGGGCTTGTGAGCGCTTTCCCGCCGCACGTGCAAACGAAGCCAGTGGCAGTCAGCCAGGGGCCCGTCTCCCAGCACCTCAAACTCAGGAGGCAGCTGGGCCGACTTACCCTTCCCCACGGTTCCATCGCCATCGGACAGGATAAGCCAGGGGACGGCCTTGGTGCCTTCGATCTGGTAGACCACCCCTGTCCGGTCGTCCACGGAGTACAGCTTCCCATTGAAGACGACCAGGTCCGACAGCTCCATGCCCCGCCCCTTTTCCGCCAGGTGGGACTCCAGGACCTTGTGGCCCTTGTCCCACTCCACGGCCACCTTGTCCCCACTGTTGGACAGGGTCAGGTAGCCCTTCTTCAGGTAACTGAACCAGGTGTTTTCCTCTTGGGCCTTTGACCCTGTGTCCAGGTCAGCGATAAGTGCGATTCGGTACCGGGTCCCGCCCGGAGTCCTCTGGGGGGCTGACAGGGGGTACGTGTCATTGTACGGGTCAGCAGGTGCCTGGCCGAGCCGCCAGTTGTGGGCGCTGGGCGGCGGGGGCCTGCCTGGGGCCGGTCGGTGTGAGCAGAGCAGCCAGAGGACGGCAATGCCCACGAAGGACGGCAGGATGACCTTCCAGCGGGGACGGAAGCGGGGGTCCGTGGCCTTGGTCATGGACGCCAGCACCGGAAGGCCCCCCACACTTATCCGGAGGGAGTGCATAGACTCATTCCATTCCAGGGGGTCGGAGGGCTGGACGGGCATGAGACTGAAGGGCTGGCGGGACCTGCACACCCAGGCAGAGAGGACACAGGTCAGCGACCTGGAAAACCCAGTGGCTTCCCAACTATCCGAGTGCTCGGCCCGAAGGCTGCCTCACTGAGACTACGCAGGACTGCCGCGGCTTCGCGGCCACCGTCACTGCCTTGGCCTAATGAAAGCCTGACTCCAGCGGTGTCTTTGCTGACTCTTATTCAGCAAGACGAGAAGTCTCTCCAAAGCAAAATTATCCCATCTCCTCTATCCCAGCTGTCAAGATAGAAAGCTCAGCGAGGGAAACGTGTTCCGTGCGGGCTGCTGCTTTGCAGTCTCGGCAAAGAGGCGAGAGCAGGGGCCTGGGGGAGGGGAAGAGGGGGTCGGCACGGCAGATAACCGCGGGCACAGATCTACATTTTTAGCAAATGTCACCTCCTTTGAGGAGTGCTCCCTGACGGCTCTGCTCCTGACAAGCACCCTCCATCCCTTCCTTGGCATCTGTCACCACCCACCATCATGTTATACAGTCACCAGTTAGTTCATTTGTGCCCCCAGCTCCTAGGACAGTGCACAGAGCAGACGCTCTACTTCCTCCTGGGTTAGGTTTCTGAATATTCAAGGCAAGTATATTGCCAACACCTGTCCCTTGCCACCTTCCTGTTAATGCAAATGACTGAGGGAGCAGAGTCTGAACACATCAGCTCCACAGGACAGCCGGGCTCACCTGGGGCCCAGCTTGGCCTCAGCCCCTGGCTGGCCCCGGGGCACAGCCCCGTTGGGTGGTGGCCGCCAGGAACTGCGGCTCTTCACCACCTGCCCCTGCTCATGTCCCCAGCACAGGCCACGGCAGCGGGGTGTGGCCACCACGGCGCTAGGCCAGCTGTGTCTGTGTCCGTGGCAGCCACCACGCTGAGAATCAGCAGAACGTCAGCCCGGCTGTGGCTCTTGGTGTCTGTCCCTCAGCTGTGAGTCAGTAAGTCCCAGCCTCAGAAAGGCCCCCTGCAGGACCGCTGAGCATTTCTGTCTCCTCTCCCAGAATACCCAAGGCAGGCGTCAGGGGCAAGTGCTCCTTGCTGCCAGGCAGGTACTCGGAGGCCCCATGCCACCCCAGCTCCCGCCCCCACCCCCAGGCTGCTGCACACTGGCTCTGACCACTGGCCAGCCCAGCTCCCGNTTTTAAATTATTCAAATCATTCTTTAATACAATATCTATTTCTACATATGCCTTCCAACTTAAAATAAAACATTAATCTTTTTATCTTGAAAGCTCTCTAGGTACTCCTTCCTGTTCCCAACTCCTTCCCACCCCAAAAGGCAAACACAATCTTGAATATTGTGTTAATCATTCGTGTGCTTTATTTTGTAATTTTAGCAAATAGGTATGCATCCCTAAACTATACCTATATCTATCTTTTACAAAAATGAAATAGAACTGTATGCAATGGGTGAGCAATTCCGTTGCCTCACAGGTATTGTCAGGTGTATTAACTTTACCAACCTGATAGCATAAAATGTCTTCTCCTTGCCTGATTACTGAGAAGTTTTGTATCTTTCTCATATTTTTTGGCCACGTATATTTCTTCTGCTGCACATGCCCCAACATCTCAGTGCTGTCTTTAGAAAACAATCCGTCCTTTCCCCATTGATTTATGTGCAGTGCCAGTTTTGCCATAGATCAAGTCTCCATAGACACATGGTTCTGTTTGGGGATTTCTGTTATTGTGTTGGTATAATATTTCATATCTGTTCAATACCCTGGCCTCATTATCACCCCTTTATACTAAGCCTTCCTAGGTTGCAGGACTATTTCTCCCCGCCCCCGCCCCCCACTGCAGCCCACCGGCCCCAACCTTTTGGGAGTTTGAATGAAATTGCTTTGAATCTGTAGATTAATTGGGAGAGAATGGAGATGTTTGTGATATTGAGTCTTCTACCCAAGAACATGGTTTGCCTTTCCATTTACTTAGGTCTTCTTAAAAATGTTTTTCAGTAAGGTTTGTAATTTTTCACTTCACAATGTAGCCTGTCCCACATCATCATACAGAGAGCTGCTTCATTCTCTGACAAGCGGTGTGTGGTGTTCCACTGTGTAAATGGGCTGTCGTTTACCAGGCCCTGGATGATGTCCTTTTGGGATATCTGTGATCTTTTCACAGTACAGCAATGCTACTTATTTGAGCACAACTATAAGTACATCTGTAGGATAAATTCCCAGAAGAAATGTTACTATGTCAAAGGGTGTTTGCATC